CTATCTTTCAAGTTGGATGAAACTACACACAGTGTGCAAAATTTGATTAAAATCGGTTCAATAGTTTAGAAGTCCATTGCGGACAAACAACGTGACACGTAATTTATATATATTAAAGAAGAAGAAGAAAGAAGATATTTGACTCACGTATTACTACAATTATACGATTTACCTGATTCGTTATCTTTCTAAAAAGATCTTTCTTTCCTTTTTCAACTTTGTTACCCTTTGTACTGACTATTGTCATTTTTTCATCAAATCGTTGCAAATCGGCAGGATTGACTCCAGGTATTTGATGCATCACGTCGATAATATTTGGAAATTTGGGTCTTAAACATTCATAAACTTGTGCGCCTAAAGTTATAAGCAAACCCTGATTTGCTTCGTGTTGGCCGTGAAGTTGTAAACCTTGAAGAACTGCAACCATAATATGCGATGCCATACCAGGAGTCAAACTACCATCGGCAACAAGTGCTCGTACAATTGGACTTGTTAACATAGTAGCTTTAAGACTGGCATTAGAATCATTCCAAGATAAAGCTCTGTAAATTGTAAATGATTAGTGAAGAAATTTTGAAAAAAAAAAAAATAAATACAAAATAAAATGATAAAAGTTACCTTAAAATGCATAAAACTACATTATGGCACGTGGATAAATGTCTCAAGACAAAAGCACCCAATTCACTGACAACTTCTGCAACTATACTATTACCACGAGAAACTGGTGGATCTACTGCCATACCACCACTATCTTGATCCATAATATCTGGAGGTGCAGCATCACTAGCTGCTCCACCAACTAATGCTACTTTTAAGACATCTATAAAATCTCGTGTTAGGTTTCTATTCAACATATCATCTATAACTTCTTGGGTATCTGTATTTTCTTCATCTAAATTTCCAGATTCGTATAAACTTGCAATGTATTGCCATTTGGCGGTCAATCTATGATACACTAAAAAAATCAAATCAATAATTTTATTAATGTTAATATTATTGGTGTAATAATTATTTCAATATTTTCTTACTGTGCGCAGATACATGAGCTAACACTGGTATAAGTACAGTCTCATAGAAAGCTGGAGGACATGAGTATATGAATGGTTTCAAAAATACCCGAATTATTGGTCGTAATCGGTAATCTGGAATCAGCTTCAACAAAATAAAAAAAAAACGATAATTATTCAAAATTAATTTTGTATTATTGTTTATGAATAATTAAATTAATCGTATTAATTATATTTCAATAACTTACGTCCATGTTAGAAAAAACTGAATTAATGAGTGCTTGCGCAAGACCAGGTAATTCATAAAAATTTCTACCAATTGTGTGACAACCGCTTCCTAACATGTGATAACAATGATCCTGAATTGTACTGAGAAACGATTGCATTCGAATTAAGGCTGTACTTGAAGATTGATCTGGTTCTGAAACGTTATCATTTGCAACATTTAATCCTAAAAGATTAGCCTTTTCGGATTCTACCAGTCCATGTGCATTTTTGTAACCCTTCATAAAAGAAAAATGTATTAATTAAACATTGTGATATGATAATAAATATTGTGAAATAAAATTTATGAACAATTTACCTCAGACAAGGCTGATATGGCTTCTGGTGTGAACAAACCATTCATTGTTCTAAGTAAAGCAAATAGAGTGGGTAAAATAGGAATGACGTGTGTTGCAGCAGGATTTCTATAAACTGGATTACCACTTTCACTGAGTGCAACAACAAAACCACCTCTTGCCGCATGATCTGGATCCTCAGGAATGGAACACCTTTTAACTACACTTAACACAGTGCAAATGCTAATCATGAGATCAATTCGATTTTGTGCTGATGGATCATCTATTAAATTTTCCACTGGGGTCCTGTCTAATCCTATAAATCTTATAAAATCGATTGGTTCTTTAAATGATTCTAATCCAAATCGAACAAATTTCGAAATACTTTCTCCAATAACTTCAGCGACTAATCTATTTTGTCTTTCATAATCACAAAAATGATTTGAAATCAAAAGTAATGCTTCATAAAGCATGATGCTTTCCATTCTGGATAAAGGACTTGGTTCTATGATCAGACCATGAACCATAGTACGTATTTGTTCAAAAACTGGCAGAAGAAGCAACGGATACTTCAAACTGATTTTAACCATAAGGCTAGCTGCATGACGTCTAACATTTTTAGCTGCTTTAGATCGGGTGACTTTTGTTTCGCCTGGCACTTCAAACACAACAGCTGCAAATATCTTCTCCAAAACTCTTGGTAAAATGGCAACTCCTGGCATAGTCATAGAACCGGTTGACATTGATAAAAATACAAATAATGCGCTAATGCATGATAACAAAGCTGAGAGTAACCAAGGATCTCGTGGCGAATAACTAAGGCACAATTCTAAAAGTTGTAATCCATTTTGTACACTGGGTCTTTCATTGATTAATAAAATTCGCGATACGACGGAGTCCAAAGCTTGAGCAAGAGCTTCCCATTCGAGATATTCGGAATCATTTTGATCACTTTTGTATTGCAAATTTGCCATACCTTTTGTTATTTTAGCGGTTAACCATTGTTGTACATAAGTAAAAGTCACAATTGGTGCTATCATTGTAGCATTTCGAAATCCTTCTAACAAATCAATTTTAAATCGATGAAGAAATACATTGAATTCTTCTTCCGAGTCATATTCAGAAAGGCAGTAAGGAGACGTTCCATTGGTATTTCTACCTTGAGGATATATTATTTTAATAAGTTTTGGGGCAGTATATTCCACATATTGAGGAACGTATGTTAAAAGCAAGGCATCGTTTTTGATTAGTTCATGTTTAAAAAACATGACCCATATTGCATTTGCTAAATGTGTTAATGTTAAATTAGAATACATGGTGAATGTCAGAACGGTATCCAGAAATAGACTAAAATGGGTTGGTCGAATACAACATGCATCATCCTTTCCCCAAAGTGAACATAACTGAGTTGCCATTCCAGTTAACACCAATGTTAATTTTTTCAAAAATAAATAATGATTGTCATGAAAATCAGTAACATTGGCAATTGGTGTAGGCGCAGTTGCAGCACCATAAATGTATCTTAAAGCTTCTTCTGAGAATAAAATCATAAGTTGTTTTCTATCTTCGGCTTTACCTTTACGATTAACTATTTGTAAAAGGCATTCAGCTGCATAGCATTGAAATATAGGATTAGCTAAGAGCAAACACAATATCTGCAATAATTTTCCATCTTCTGCCATTATATGATTTATCGATACCCACTCGACAAAACTTGCCATTGTAGTTAAAATGACCTGTTTCACAAACACATTTTAATATATAAGATTAAATAGAAAAAGAAATTTATAAAATGCATTGAGTATTGATACTTACTTGAACTACTTTGCTGTGTGCAGAAGCTTCCGTTGTATGACCAATGGAATTTTTCTTTTGAAATTCCGAAAAATGTTGTTCCATTAGTCTCATAAAGAAAGTAAAGATCTCCGCCATATTTGAATTTAATGCTTGATAAATATCCTTTCTTCTCTGATTAGATTCCAAAGTTTGTAACAGTGCTACATCTTCTACTAATCTAAGGAACACTAGTAAAACTAATTCTGTTTGACTCTCTCCTCTAGTGCAAATTTGACTAAGCTCTGATAGCAATGTTGGCCATTGTTGTGGCCACTCCCGTTTGATCATTTCAACAACAATTCTGGACAAAGCATCCTTTATATGAGCTTCCTCTTGCAACAATGGTTCTGTACCTTCTTGTAACAATTTCATTGCATTTTCTTTTATGAATATTTTCTCTGATTGTGATATTTGTGTCCAACGATATTTAATACAATGTTCCATTAATTGTAAACCAAAATGACGAACAACTGGACTTCTGTTGGGTGATTTTTGTGCCAAATATAAACCACATTGAGCGCAAAGTGGTGAAGTCTCTTTAAATCTTTCACAAGCATTGTAAACTTCTAGTCGTTGCTGTTGTGATATATTCGGTGACATCATCACCTCAACCACCCGAGCAAGCTCTGCTGATATATGGGCTACATCTCCCGTGCCACACTCCATTCCTAAAAATATTATAAACAATATTAATATTCACATTTTTATAATCATTTTATATAGTAGGTGATGATCAGTTAACAAGTATAATGCATTTCAAGACAAAGTTCATTACTTAAATTATTCATTAACTGATTATTCTCTTTGTATATGACAAAAGTGATAATCGTAAACTAAAATATCAAAGTGTATGTTAATTAGTAAAGTACTACTGTCAGTACTCGAGAAAATAGTTACTGACAATATATAACATTAAATAAATATGTTCTTTTAAATTAGTTTGTACAATAATAAACATAATGTAATAATGATAAATAACTCTTAATATTAATCAATTTAATTGAATAAAACTAACGTGAACTTATTTATAAATAATCATGTTTGATGCAACAATGTGTAAAATTATTTTAAAAATGTGTCTAATGTGCAATAATATGAAATTGCATGCAATGTTTCTTCATATTGAAAGAAATGTAATAATATTTTTGTTTATATAATGAAAATTCGATTAAAATTTTAATACATAAATAAAATGTAATTTCATATTTTTTTATACAAGATAATAATTTGACATCATTATAATATCAAAAATGTATTAAAAGGCACAGCAGCTTTTAGAAAACGTGGACCATGCGTTAAAAGTTATTTTACTCACCTAGTAATGTGAGTGTGGATTAAAAGCGAACGAAAGTATACGTCCGATGGTATAAATGTTTACGCAGGATGTCAATTCATATCTGTTTATCCTTTTTTATTAATTACCGGAAAAATTTATAATCCACGATTAGCGATCGTCTATTCAATGCAATGAGCACCCTTGCATTTGTTCCAGTCTGAGATGCGGCACGTTGAATGTGATCGCACACGAGCGGCACACTACCGCCATCTTTCAACTTTTAAATACGATATAACCTTACCCTGTATACAATAATATATTGTCAGATACAAATAGGTTTCAATAGATAATCAATTAAAAATACATTAAACATTTATGCATATAATAGATTATTATTTTATAATATTAAATATATTAATTATATATATGTAAAAGAAAAATAATGTAAATGATTTTCATTTTTAGTAATTATTTACATGCTATAGATACTATCGAGTTCAAAGGATTATACGTACACATTATTTCTTTGAATAATCTCCAGATGGCGCTTTCTTTCATACGGCTCATGTGATTGGTAGAGAGTCAACATTATTCGATGCAACGATGGGATTGGTGGAAACCGCGCATGCACCGCATATGCATGATTACTAACGTAGAAATATCAACAGTTATAAAAATTATAGTATTTCATTTCTTATTTGTTTTTTAATAATTATTACTAAATAATATGAAATAAAATTTTGAATTATTTCAATATTTTTATCACAATGGATGCTCGAAGACGAGATCGAGAACAAATTGGGTTATGTGGTGTTGACAGAGTTTGGGGTAAATCACCTACACGAATAGAAGAGTAAGTTTTCATTAGTAATAATTATAAATAATTGTAAATTTTGATGTTAATATTTTTACAAACTTTGTTTACAAACGAAATTGTACATTTTGTGTAATTTTAGTTCTGACGAGGAAGATGAGATTAAAAAGTACAAGGATGACATACTCCCAAAAGATAAGAAAAGAAAATCAAAGGATAAACAAAAGGTAAATAATTAAATAATCAATTATCTTTTACATTTCTTACCCTGTTTGTAAATAAAATAAATTTTGATTTTGTAGAAAAGTAAAAAATTGAAAAAAGAGAAAAAGTCCAAGAAAGAAAAGAAACACAAACGTAAGAAGAAGAAGAAAGTTTCTAGCAGTTCTGCAAGTGATTCAGAAGAAAGCGTAGAATGGGTAGAAAAAACGATAGAAACTATTAAAGCAGAAAGTAATAATAAAGGATCTAGTTCTGATGAAAGTGGAAACGAAGGTTTGGTTGGACCGACTAAACCAAAACAACCACACGTTGCTTTATCTACAAAAGATTTTGGAAAAGCTTTGTTACCTGGAGAAGGTGCTGCAATGGCAGCTTATGTTGCAGAAGGTAAACGTATTCCTAGAAGAGGTGAAATTGGTCTTACATCTGATGAAATTGCATCATATGAATCTGTTGGTTACGTCATGAGTGGTAGCAGGTAATATAATATTAATCATTATTTTTATTCTAAATTTTATCTTAATAATTTGTACTATAATTAAGGATTAACTAAAACTCTTTTATATTACAGACATCGACGAATGGAGGCAGTTCGTATTCGTAAAGAAAATCAAATCTATTCTGCAGATGAGAAGAGAGCATTGGCAATGTTTAGCAAAGAAGAAAGACAGAAAAGAGAGAACCTTATACTACGACAATTTAAAGAAATGGTTAATCAAAAACTTGCACAAGAACAAAAAAATAAATAACTCATTACTATTTTTTTTTAAATTCTAGACTAAATTATTCTAAAATATTTGTGTTATACGATAATATAAGTATTATAATCATAAGTATAAGATATAATGATTTTTGTAAATAATATTGTTTAAATATCTTACTGTAGATTATTAATTCATATTTAATGTGTACAATGTAAATTTCTTGTACAATCTGTATATATTTATATATATTTAATCAGAATCTTAGAAAATAATAATTTTTTTATTCATTCACAAAATCTTTTTCCTTTCTATATATATATATTATAAATTAAAAATCATGTCAATATATATAATCATATATTTTTAATGATAACATCACTATATTTAATTATTTTATTTCTGATTACTCTCCCAATCGAGCCAACCACCTATATAATTGTATACACTAGAAAACAAAAGCATGTTAGTTATTCAATTCTAGAAATATATGGAATATACATGGTGTTTCAAAATATATAAGTAATAACTTTAGTGATGGTTGCAGTATGTTAAAATAAAATAAGTTTGTACAACCATATGTTTGATATGATCTTGTTTTTAAGATCAGTCCTAAAGTTATACCTACATATTTTAAAACACCCTATATATTCTTGAAAAATTATATTAAAATGCATATACTTTTTGTATCCTATTTTTTGTAATTCTTCTTGTACCATACCACTCCTCTTACCAGATCTACAGCTTAATATAATTTTGGTTTCATTATCAGGTTTAGATTTGTTGAATTTTTGTACAAAATCTTCTTTAGAAATATTTGTCAAAGTATTCGTAACATCTCCCACTATAATAATTTCAAAATAATTATACATTTTGTTTATAATAATCAAATATAAATGACTCACTTGGAATGTGAATACTGCCTGGTAATTTTCCAGTTTCATTTATTTCAGATGGTTCTCTTACATCGATAATTAAAATACTTTTGTCTTTTTGTGCTTCTAAAATACCATTATAATTAACAATTAAAGATTTATTTTCACCAGACATTATTTCAGCTTCTCCTTTTGCATTAAATGTATTTGAGAAAAAAAATACTTGTTTTGCTGTAATACATTATACAAATTAAATATTTAAAATAAATAGAACATTGAAATAATTGATAAATATACCTGTAACAAATTTGTTCTCAATCGAATGTTTTAAAACAGTACTAACATAAGGTACTTTTAACGAACAAAAATGTAACCTTCTATTTTGAATACCAATGACATTTAATTGTTTATGAATTTGACGTATTGTATTAAATCTCATAATTATATCTTGATCTTATTCTTTTTTTCGATATCAGTAATTATATAATAATTATTATATATACCTTTTATTTTGATCAATTTGACATATCAGATTTATTCTATACGTAATTAGAAATTATTTTTATAGTAACAAGTGTACAAATATATTTATGAAATATTACAGCTACGAGAGTTCATGTTTTTTAATGTTTAAATAAATTATAGTTTTTTGTATTTATTTAAAAAAAAAGTTATAAAAATTGTTATATTATTATTATTATTATTATTATTATTATTATTATTGAAATAAAAGAAAAAGATAATTACAAAATATTGAAGATTCCTAATTCGGATCAGTGATTGGTTGATTTTATATTGAAAATGGCGGCAATATTTGAAATGTAAGTAACAATATTACAATACGCTATTGTTTTATTTTTAATGAGGAAACCATTATTTTTATTTATAATTGAAATAACCATACATGTAACGAATCAGTCATTTTATTTATTTTATATATATATAA